GATGTGAATGTACAAATATCTATCTATCTATCTATCTATCTATCTATATATATATATATATATATCGCTACATAAATTGACAGCGCTATATAGGTACCATGACGAATCATGCTTCTCTGTCTGGCAATCTGATGGACGTGTCTGGGTTTGATGGTTGCTAGGAGAACGGTACTTGCTTGACTGCACTGTGCCAAATGTAAAGTTTGGTGGAGGGGGGATTATGGTGTGGGGTTGTTTTTCAAGGGTTGGGCTTGGCCCCTTAGTTTCAGTGAAAAGATCTCTTAAGGCGTCAGCATACCAAGACATTTTGAACAATTTCATGCTCCCAACTTTGTGGGAACAGTTTGGGGATGGCCCCTTCCTGTTCCAACATGACTGCACACCAGTGCACAAAGCAAGGTCCATAAAGACATGGATGAGCAAGTTTGGGGTGAAGGAACTTGACTGGCCTACACAGAGTCCTGACCTCAACCCCATAGAACACCTTTGGAATGAATTAGTGTGGAGACTGTGAGCCAGGATTTTTCATTTGACATCAGTGCCTGACCTCACAAATGTGCTTCTGAAAGAATGGTCAAACATTCCCATAGACACACTCCTAAACCTTATGGACAGCCTTCCCAGAAGAGTTGAAGCTGTTATAGCTGCAAAGGGTGGGCCAACTCAATATTGAACCCTACGGACTAAGACTGTGATACCATTAAAGTTCATGTACGTGTAAAGGCAGGCGACCCAATACTTTTGACAATATTGCGTATATATATATATATATATATATATATATATATACACACACAGTATGTGTATGTTTTATCTCATATTATGATATAGTTGTTAAGTGTTCCTGTGCGCAATTACTCTATAACCCTTCATACTGTGGCTTGGCTTGACTTTTTAGCTTAGTAGACACTGTGATTTTTTAGCCTCAGGAAGACTGTGTTAGGCATAGAGGGTTAATATCAGAGCCACGATAATGAGAAGCTCTGAATGCAATACATTTACCCACAGATGGAGATGATCTGTGACTAATGACAAAATGATCGTAAACACTCTTCTGGTGTGTCATCTCTCCTAGATTAGAGATTTCAGAGGAATGACACAGTACTAAATTTGTGTTATCTTTACATGTACACTAATTTGTAGTGTTTTTTTTTTGCCTGAACAATCTCCTTAGTAGGGCCCCCTCCCAAACCGGGTCCCATGACAACCGAATGGGCTGCTATGTCTACAGTAACACTGGTGAAGGATAGTAAGCATGTAGTGATCAGTGTACAATTGAACAGCACACATTAAAATCCTTCTAAATGCTTTATAACTATCCAGTTTTTCCAGATGTAATCAAAGCAGTAAGGAAACTAATAGACATGGATATAGCAAATGCATTTGAGCTTCTTGTGCTAAGACAAGAATGATAAGCTGGATTACTAAAAGCTACAAATATGATTTAATAGTGCAGTGTTAAAGGGAGGATCCTGGGCAGCTAGGAATGTTTTCTGTTTATTATAGATATTATAGATATTATATACTGGCACATTTACAGTGATTGAACCATGATAGAAGTTTCTGTACACAGGAAGCCGGACATTGATGAATATTTTGTGTACATAGTGCGAATTCTGAAAAGATGTTTTGTAAGATAACCATTTTTGTGTATAACAGCAAAATGTGCTTTAGACATATTCAGACATTTATCTATCTATGTGTTTTATTTCAGGGTTTCTCAAACTTTTGACCTTGGAGGAACCCTTGGCAAAAGGTTTGAGATCTTGGGGAACCCCTGAAAACAAATTTCAGATCTACAGCTCAGGGAACATTGGATCAAATCAGCAAGCTTTAGATATACAGTAAGAAAAATTATTTTAGAAATGTTATTCAATCTCAGGGTTTCTCAACCGGGGTTAAGCATTGGGTTCCATGAGAAGTTCCAAGGTATTTTATTTTACACCATTTCTTCACACCTATGAAAGGTTTTAGGTAGGTGTGAAATATATATTTTAATTGTTTATTTTTATCAATTTCCAAAATGCAAAGTGCACAAACAAAGAGAAATCTAAATCAAATCCATAATTGGTGTCTTCTTTTAGCACTTCCATACACAGGATGTCACCTCCTACTCCTACTCTCTGCTCTCCCCCTCTCCATAGTCTGCATTCAGCACTGACATAGACAGGATGTCACCTCCTGTCCGCCAGGACTTTCCTCCAATAATATCATGTTGCATCGATGCAAGCACTCCTTTTCTGAGGAGAGAAGGGCTGAGAATCCAGTGCAGAGATCTGACCACAAGGAGTGTGCTTCAGTGATGAGCTCCCACACTCGTCACTCTTCCTGGTGCTGCCCAGAGTTTACAGGAGACAGAACCACAGAGGAAGCATCGGGGATCAATGTTTTCAGATGTTCTTTTAAAATTCAATAGTATGTTCAAAATGCAGCTATATAGGAAAATACAGAAATGAGTGATAAGAAATGGTGAAAATAACACGGAAGCAAAAAATGGTAGCCCTCTGAGATCACAGGAGACAGAACCACAGAATAGGCATCGGGTATCTATGCGCACTGATGGTACTCAAGTTGATTTGTGGAGGAACCCCTTAGGACTTCTCACAGAAACCCAGTTGAGAAACCCTCTTTTATATGCTTAGCATCTATGGTATATGTTTTTCTATCTATTTTTTACATATAGGTGTTTTCAGATGTTCACTTAAAAATTAACAGTATGTTCAAAATGCAGCTTAATAGGAAAATGAGTGATAAGAAATTGTGAAAATAACATAGAAGTAAAAAATGTCTCAAATGACCATATCTCTTCACTCCTCCAGGCACAGACCTCTGAGTTTACAGGAGTCAGAACTACAGAGAAAGCATTGGGTATCAATGCTCACTAACAGTACTCACTGTTGATTTGCGGCGGAACCCCTGGGGATTTCTCGCAGAACCCCACTTGAGAAACCCTGTTTTATATGCTTTGCATCTATGGTATATGTTTTCTGTATATGTTTTACTTACACATGTTTTTAGATGTTCACTTATAAAATTACCAGTATGTTCGAAATGCAGCTTTATAGGAAAACACAGAAATGAGTGATCAGAAATCGCGAAAATAACATAAAAGTAATAAATGGCTCCAAAAGACCTTATCACTGCCATGTAACTGGAACTAAAGCAGGACTACACTCAAAATGATTTGTGTCTTTCTGATAGAATGGGGCAAGATTAGATTTCTCCACTGCTGTTTGCAACTCAGAAATACCTTATTCTAGCCTCAGGTCCTAGCGTGACAGATAGGCCATCAATGAGCCAGACTTCTTGACTTCCCCTTTTTAGAATCACTTTGGATTGTTCATTAGGGGGTTGCTGTCACAGAAATGCTAGAAACATACTTCAGCATTTCTTTGTCATTGCACCCATCCCCCAAAAATGACTTAACCACTTCAGCTCTCACACCCTATGGACCAGAGAAATGTTTACATGTCTGCAATCAACCTGTCTATCTGGCAATACGTTTTTTTTATTTCATTTCTTATGATAACAAAATAATACATACTGTATATTGTTTTTAAGGATCAACAAGGTTTTCTTTTTCTTATATCATTTTGAAAAAAAATATTTTTTTCCCCCACAATCTTTAGACAAAAATAGCAACATAACTAAAAAACGCACTTTTTCTTTTTTGATCAGTGCTAATTTAATAGGAAATTGTGATTTTGGTACAAAGCATTGCAGAGTTTTTTTTTTTCTTTTTAATTAACCACTTCAATGCCAGACCTATTCTGACACTACTCATATATATGTAAAAATCAAATTTTTTTTTTTTGCTAGAAAATTACTTAGAACACTCAAACATTATATATTTATTTAGCAGAGGCCCTAGAGAATAAAGAGGCGAGCAATCTTTGGTTATCTGGGAGGGATGCTAATTGATGTTAACACTATCTGAAGTCGCTCGTGACACTAATACAGCAATCAGTAAAAAAATCTGTATACTGTACTAGTGGCACTGGTGACAGGGAAGTGAAAGGGTTAACTGGGGGGGTGATTGGGGGGTTAAATGTGACCTAGCAGTGCTTTTACTGTCAAAGTGTGCTGCTTGGATCTGCTCTCTTGTCTCTCTGGAACAGAATGTGCCCAGGGAGAGAGAAGATTGCATCATTTCCTGTGCCTGTGTAATGTAAACACAGATACAGAATGAGCTCCTATTCGGTACATCCGATCAGCAGATCCAGGCCAAACATCTTTGGACTGAATCTTGTAAGTGATCAGCGCTGTACCAAATCACAGTACTGCTGGGCCCCGGGCCGCAAACACAGCGGGAGCGTGGATCACGTATATATAAGTGATTTTGCGCAGGAAGTTTTCCCTGTAGCAGTAAAACTGCTATAGGGAGAAAGGCAAGAGGTTAACGTGGGTTTAACTGTTTGTTTTTTTTTTCTTTAAAATAATAAACACATCATACTTACCTTCTTTATACAATGGTTTTGCACAGATTATCCCCAATCTCCCCCTTCTCAAGTCCCCTGCAGACGCTTCTGGCCCCTCCTCCCTGCGGAGAGCCCCTATAGCAATCTTCTTGCTCTGGCGGCACTCCTGCATGCTGCTCCTAGGCCACCTCTGTCTGTGTATGAGACACATACAGTGACAGTTGTGATTGACAGCAGCCAATGGCTGCTGCTGCTGTGTCTCAGGCATTGAGGAGAAAGACCCGTGAGAGCCTTGATTCTCAGGCACATCGCTGGATTTCTGTCCCCATCTAAGTATCAGGGGGGGGCTGCGGGGGGATCTGCACACTGAAGGTTTTTTAAATTCATGCCTAGGATGCACGAAGGTAAAAAAATATACTTCAGCCTTTCCAACTGTTTTAAAATTATGTAATTTTATAATTTTTTGTAGTTTTTAGTATGCTTAGTCTAGAAATTAAAGAAAATACAATTGAACTCATTAAATGAAAATCAATCAATTTAGATATGATTTACCAAATATATATGCATATGTAACTAACTTACCAGATTCACTTCAATCGTTTTCTCCCAGTCTTTCTCATTATTAACTCCAGCATTATTTACCAATATATCCAGCCTTCCAAAATGTTCCACTGTTCTCTGAAAGGCATCTAAAATAAGCAAGGAAAAAAGAAGTTCACTTCAAAATGTACTTAAAAGGTGAAAATGACTGAAAGTTATTGGAAAAGGCTACACTTTAAAATCACGTTTAATATAAGTATATCTCAGGGATGTCTATATTGCAGGTTCATAAATTCAAATTGTTGAATGAACATGTGATGACAAAACTGTATTGTGTTTTGTGTTTTAAAAAACTATTATTTTCAGTTTGGACCACATCTCCACCCCCCACCTCACCTCCTCATTCTCTGCCCGCATCGCCCACCTCCTAAACGACATATCAGACTGGATGTCGCTTCACTTCCTCAAACTTAACCTATCCAAAACCGAGCTCCTGGTCTTCCCACCCTCCCCGTGCCCCCCCCCATCTTCTCCATCACTACTAACAAGGCCACCATCTCTCCCACCCCACACGCCAAAGTCCTGGGTGTCACCCTGGACTCCCACCTCTCCTTCCTACCCCACATCCAACTGCTATCTAGATCTTGCAGGCTCCACCTCCGCAACATCTCCAAGATACGCACATTCCTCACCCCAGACACCACCAAACAACTCGTACACTCCCTCATCATCTCACGCCTGGACTATTGCAATTCCCTTCTCACTGGCCTACCCAAACGAGCACTATCCCTACTCCAGTCTATCCTGAACTCAGCGGCTAGACTCATCCACCTCACCAACCGCTCCACATCTGCCTCCCCCCTCTGCCAATCCCTTCACTGGCTCCCGATTGCCCAACGCATCAAATTCAAACTGCTAACTCTGACCTACAAGGCCATTCACAATGCCGCCCCAATCTACATAACTGACCTGATACCCAAATACTACCCTACCCGTGCCCTCCACTCCTCACAGCACCTCCTATTCTCTAGCTCCCTGGTCTCCTCCTCCCACGCTCGATTGCAGGACTTCTCCAGGACTTCCCCCATCCTCTGGAACTCCCTACCCCAATCCATAAGACTGTCACCTACCCTCCTCACCTTCAGGTGCACCCTGAAAACCCTCCTCTTCAGGGAAGCCTATCCCAACCTCACCTAACACCCGACCTCACCTAACAACTAACCTCCTCCACTCCTCCTGCCACTCCATCCCCCACAGCCATCTCCTCCTGTGCCACCTTCCCCTCCCTCCTAGATTGTAAGCTCGAAAGAGCAGGGCCCTTGAACCCCTCGTGTATTGTATTGTTACTGTCTTGTCTTTTGTTCTGTCCCCCCGCTACTGTACAGCGCTGAGCATACCGATTGGCGCTATATAAATACTGTATTATAATAATAATAATGTTAAAAAGGCAAGGAGTTGAAGTGATATGCAAATCTAAACTTTACCTGTAAAAACGTAACTTAGCCCCATTCATTCTCACAGCTTATGAAGCAAAATACTTCTGTGTTTATGTGTCTAGAAGTTTAGTTTTTATTACATGTGTTTTTGTTAAAAGAAATCTCTGCTCGTGATTTCTTTCAACATACGTTCAGTTTGAATTGACTGGGTTGGTGACTGGTACTCAAATTTTTGTAAACTGCTTTAAAAATATACACACTTGCATCACTTGAAAAAAATACAAAAGATGCCCTTACCTATTACAAAAAAGCTGCCACACAGAAGTATGCATCTGGAAAAGGGGGTACTTTAAGACGGGGTAGGAATAAAAAGAGTGCACATTCTTTGTGTTTGAAACTCCACTTATCCTTTAAAACAAAGTTGTTAATTACAGTTCTAGGTGAAATCTATAGGACTTATTTGCCATTTTTAGCAAGTATTTGTTCTTCATTTGACAGAATTTTGCCCTTGGGGACTCTAGTGTTCCATGCAATGAGCCTTAATTACTTAATCTGTTCGGGAGGAGATTTTGCACTTAAAATGTTTTCTCTTGTATGAATGAAGCATTAAAGAAAGAAGACATTGAAACTGAAATGCAAAAATCTTCTACAATTCCACATTTAGCTTACTATAATGAGCCTTACTGAACTATTCAGTTGATATATTGTTACTATACTGTTGCTACACTGGTGAAGGGTGCACTGGAAACCTTAACTGCCATTGTGCTATATGCTGAGTGTCCAGTGCATCCCTGTGTCTTTAACCACTTGCCTCCTAGGCACTTTTACCCCCTTCCTGCCCAGGCTAATTTTCAGCTTTCAGCACTCTCACACTTTGAATGACAATTGCACGGTCATGCAACATTATACCCATATGAAATTTTTATCATTTTTTTCACGCAAATAGAGCTTTCTTTTGGTGGTAGTTATTAATCACTGGGTGTTTTATTTTTTGCACTATAAACAAAAAAAGAGCAAACAATTTGAAAAAAATAATAATTTTTCTTTGTTTCTATTATAACATTTTTCAAACAGGTAATTTTTCTCCTTCACTGATGTGTGTTGGTGAGGCCACACTGATACACAGCACTGACTGGCACTGATAGGCAGCACTGGTGGGCGCTGATGAGGTGGCACAGATAGACAGCACTAATGGGCACTGATAGGTTGCACTGATGAGGTGGCACTGGTGATCATTGATGAGGAGGCACTAATGATGCTGCACTGATATGCAGCAATGATGGGCACTTGTAGGCGGTACTGATAGGTGGCACTGATGGGCACTGATAGGCAGCACTGATAGGTAGCACTGATGGGCAACTTTGATGGGCGGTGCTGACTGGTGGCACTGACTGACAGCACTGACTGGCGGTACTGACTGGCAGCACTGATGGGCGGCACTGATGGGTGCAACTGCTGGGTGGCACTGCTGGGCAGCACTGATGGGTGCCACTGCTGGGCACTGCTGAGTGGCACTACTGGGCACTGATGGGTGGCACTTATGGGCACTGGTGGATGGCACTGCTAATCAGTGCTGATCTGCTCTGTGACAGTTGCCAGTTATCAGCAGTACTTTCCTCACGCTGTGACAGAGTGAGGAAAGTGCAGCCGATAACCGGCAACTGTATTTACTCGGTGATCTGCTGTATCATTGGACACAGGTGATCACGTGGTAAAAGACGCTGTGATTGGCCTTTCACTCATCACATGACCAGCTGTGTCCTTAGGACACAGTGATCACAGACAGTGCCGGATGCATGTTGCTGAGGGCGCGTGGAAGGGTGTGTTCTTGGAGGACATCATATGGCGCCCTCCCAGAACTGGACAACCATGCTGTAGCCATCATTCAGCTATATCACGGTTGGCAAATGGTTAAGAAGGGGTGGGCTCCCTCCAGGCTCACCTGCCTTTAGTCTATCCATTATTATGCATGTGCTTCTGCTATGGAAGCTCTCAAAATTTATATAGTTAGGACTGCAGAATACTGGGGTGCCATGAAGAAGCTATTTTTTCTTTGTTGTTGTTTAAAGAGGAACTACACTGCATCTAAGCAGCACAAAACAAAATCACAATTTAATGAATTTTTAATACTCAAAGCAAACTCCCCCATTCATCCATGTCTCCATGCTTTATTTTGCTGAGAAATCACTTTGAAAAACACCCTTCTAACATTTCAGGCAACGGCTATCTTAACTAAGGGCAGATGATTTTACTTCCTAGAACCTACAATTCATCTGCCTTAGCTGAGAAAGCCCTGGATCCCCTCCTGAAGACTCCTGGGATGTACAACATCATTTGTCTAGGCATGGAAACTAGGAAGTAACTGAAAACATGTAAAAAAAAAGTTTAAAACAAGTAAATATGGTATACTTTCCTATCTATTCACTAATACTATCAGCATAAGGATTAAAAATGTTCAATGTTGATTGAGAGAGTGAGGTTCTGCTTGGTTATAAGGTGAACACTTACTTTTATATTTGATAGGGTTTTTCAAACATTAGGAGGTTTTGAGAAAAATAAAAGATTGCTGAGGCATTATTCATTCTTAACCTTAATCTTCCTTTCACCACCAAACTGGTAAATGAGAGGGCATATGGCTGATAATAAAGGGTACAAGACCATATCTCAACATAGCAGGACACCTGCAGGCTCATGACCCCTTCTTAGGAGTAGAGTATGGGTTGCTGTTTCTTGGAAGTCAGCCTGAATTAACCTTATCTTCTTGTTACAGACAAGAAAATTCAATTAGCTAAAATGTTGAGATACTAAAATGTTGAGGTTTGGCTACACATTGGCAAGGTCAGACTAGTTAGTTCCTAAGGCAGGAAAGTCTTAAGGGGAAAACAGATGTCTTTGTGTCATTATTGTGTAACATTTCTTTCTTATGTAAACTTTGAAGCTACAGTAAAGAAGAGATTAGCTTTCAGTTAAAAATAGGGAAACATCCTGAGGCATGAATGCAGCTAGGAAGACTGCCTTAGTAACACCATGACACTACAGTATATAGAGCGGATGTATCCTGTAATTAGCTATATTGAGGCTCTGTCATTATAGTGCAGTTGCTAAAAAGCTCCAACCTTTCATGGGCATGACCTCAGCTGCAGTGCATGCAACCTTTGTTTTTACATCTCTAATATGTGGATATATTTAAAATAATTCTGTTATAAGAGTGCTCTAAAAAATATTCAAGTGTTAAGAATATGCGTAACAGAACTGTGCAGCAATATGACTACAATGGCTTAGCTATACCCTTTACTATTACTATTTCTACATTTGTAATTGTTCTTCAAATTACATTTTCACCCTCTGCCTGCAAAATCCTTAAATATCATTGCATTGTTTTCATGTGATTTTTAATAGCTCCTTTACAAACCTAGAACATTGCGCTGCCATGGGAAAACCAAGTCAATATACTTAACCAATCTCCTTCTTTCCTCACTTATTAGTACCTCTTAGCTGTTCCTGGTCTGTGACATCACACTGGATAAACATTGTTCTGTGACTTCCAAATTGTTCATCCAAGGAAGCTTTGCACTCTTCACCGGCTATGTGGTTCTGGTCCACCATTACCAGCTGTATAAAGAGGGAATCAAATCAAATTTAGTTTCACTGACACTTAATGGATTGAAAAACAACTTCTGAAAAAAATTTAAAATATTTTTTCATCTGCATCACCGTTTTATCTTTTATAATTTTTCCTAAAGAAACTTGATTTGAAATCAATAAATACTGAGTTGTTATAAATTGTAATGGCATGATTATAAAATGAAGGGGTACAACCAACCCACAAAGACACTTTTGGGTAGGAGCATCCTACAGCTGGATTTCTGGATATGTGCAATTATGAAGAGGATGCCATTCTTTTTGTATTGCAACGTTAACTATAATGTTAGTTGTGGTACAGAACACCAAAATGAATGGTCTTGATTCTTTTAGTAACTTGCTTATCAACAGTTCCTAAATTTTGCAATGCACCTACAGGCATCTGAAAATGTCTAATGCTTAAATGTTGGTACTCAATGCTAAGAAATAGATCACTGTGTACAGGGAGTTACTGAAGGTGTTAAAATACACTAAGTTGGTAGGAAGAAGTACCAAGGAAGTACACAGTGCAAAAAAAGGCAGCAGCTGATGAGGTCAATGAAAAGCACACAGAGTAATAAAGGCATAATACACATAGGATTATGCAGAGTCATTTACATTACAGCTTGGTATGCTGACAGCAGTGGATACTGCATAGTACTAGCAGACTTAGAAACTCAGGAGTTACTGAGAAACTACACTGATGAGTAGGCAGAATTCCTAATTTGTAAAAGCACAAGGAACTCAACAGCAGCAAAGGTCAAAGCACACTAGACCAAGAAGGAAGATGTTGACGTTATTGCATGGTAGCACACTGAGGGACAGGCAGAGGGGTTACACAGTAGTCAGAAGGATTAAGATATCGGCACACAATGAACAGCACAAGTATTTTGGATTAAGTCTACAAATATTTTCGATGGGCAGAACATACATGTAAATCATAAAACAAATGCAACAAGAATCAAGCTAACTTATTCTACCTCACTCTTCATGCTGGATAACACACATTGGGATACCTCAGCATCTCTGCTTTTGGATCTTGTTTTAGATTCCACACTTAACAAATTGAATTACCGACTGTTGGATTTTTTATAATGACCTTACCTACAATGAACACTGCCTGTTTTTATCTTCAACGCCTTCTGTCCTGCATACAGTCAACTATACATTTCACATGATTTATATTGGAGCCTAACTTTTGAGACCAGCATCCAATATGCAGTTTTTATTTCATCACAGTAATGTTATCATGGCAACTCTAAACTCTAATACAGGGGTCCCCAAGCTTTCTAAAGGGCCAGTTTACTTTCCATCAGACTTTAGGGGGGCCAGACTGTGAGACTTTAGATGTAAATAATGCCCAATCTTTGGTATTAGGGAGAGAAATAGTTGGTGTCAGTGGAAGGAATAGTGCATCATTTTTGTTGTCAGCCAAAGGAATGAAGCCATATTGTTAATGTCAATGGAAGGAATAGTGCCCCGTTGTTGGTGTCAGTGGCAGGAATTATGCCCCATTGTTGGTGTCAGTGGCAAGAATAATGCCTCAAGGGCTGGCAAGCAGAGAGCCAAATCTAGCCCCAGGTTCGTAGTTTGGAGACCACTGCTCTAATGCATTCCTTTGTATTTTCATCATCATGATGTTTACAGTGGTAAACCACCTTTACTAACATGATGTGAACTTATTCTTATAATCCTGTTGGAAACCTTGCCAGTGTCCTTATGGGCATATTTAAGTTTCAAGGACCATTGACTACTACACATTAAAAATTCTATATGAGCAGTGACTTACTGTATGTTTTATATGCGCATAACTGCATGTACTGTGCATGCATTTTCATGTTAATGTGTCCTTTTTATGTAATTTTTGAGAAGACAAAGTAAAAAAAAATACTTAACATAATAGGTTGAAATGTGTTAGCACACAAAAACGCAAGTGTCATGCATATTTTACAAAACTAGAGGCAAGGAGAACACAATAGTAACTATGTAACAAGTATATAAAAGGTAAACATCTTAAAGCAAGGAATACAATCTTCCATACACACATTCCCAGTATGTTGTAATCATACTACATCTTTAGAATCCATCCTAATGAGCAAGGGATCCTCTCACAAATCCCTTGCTGACTGGAGCAGTGAGCAGTTGACACTCTCCGTTTATGCACAGCGGACATGGACAGAGCCTGCTCTGCTCTATGGGTGGCCGGGTGTAAACAGACTCTGCTGTCTGTTTATACCCGACTACCCTCTGATCTGCCTAAACAGAGGACGGATCTCCTTCCATTTTTTTTTTATAGTGGACCAGATTGGACCCAGAAATAGGCAGGTGTAAAAATCCACAAGTTCATTTACAGTTGCCGATCCATGGGGGTGAATGGACCATCCGATCAAGTCCATCTGAAAAGGCTGAGGGGCCTTATTGTGCAAAAATACAACATGTAATACAGAATTTGGACTGCAATATACTCATAAAGATGTTTAAATTGACTTAAGATCACACATTTTTAAGTGATATATTTCTTACTTTAAGTAACATTGCATGTTACTATTTTTCCTGTGGAGGCTAAAACAGGCATTACCATTAAAAAATTATAATGCTGCACTGCTGTACATTTATTAATTATAACGCACAAAACTCAACTCACTCAAAAAGACATGAACAGGCACTTGCACTAATAGATCTATTTTTCTTTGCTTGTATCTCCTATGGTTAAACCTTGAAGTTCTACCATTTCATTTGTGTCTCCATGATGGGCCAATTCTTCATAGTTTGTGCATTTTCATGCATTACCTTCCCACAGCTGTCACTACAGGCCCCATATTCTGTTCTTAGATGCCCCTGAACTGCCATTTCAAACCTTTTTTGCTATACACCTCCTGCATTGAGGACATGTGCTACACAACACATGCTTTATGACATATTTCTTTTTAATCCAAGAGTATCTTGTTTTTTATTTAATTAGGTTATGCTATGTTGCATGGATACAGACTGTTTAGAACTGGTTCATCAGTCTAGATCACAGTGCTTATTTGGCTTACCAGCAACACAAGACAGGGGTTTCATGCTTGGAAGAGATCCACTATCACACCTGCTGTTACTTACAAATATTGATGCTAGGAATTTACGAGTGCCGACAAGTGGACATAATTCTTCCAGCTAATGAAAATAACTTGCCTAGAAGCTGGATTCCTGGACATCAACACAATGTTGTGTCTATTATTAGTGGCCATAAAATATGTTGTTCATATAACTGATTCAAAATCATAAAACACATGCAATGGACAGTAAAATAAATAGCACAAATATTAAAGCTAAAATAAGAAACATAATGCTTCACCAATGCTATTTGTAGTAGCTACAGAAAGGTCAAGTTATATAGCTAAATCAATAGATGCTATGCCTAGGTTAACAAATATTTGGGAACCATGGTTCACTTGTAATTTCCACGGCTGTTACCAAATATTTAGACATATGGGATACCTCTTATTAATAGGATTTTGATCCTGACCATGACCGTGGGGTGCCCACCTAACCCTTTTTTCCCCTTGGCCCCTTCAATCTTTTTGTTTCTGATATCGCTACCTTCCAGCTATGTAACATTCACTGAAACCATATTATGGTCATATTCTGTGTATATTCTTTTCTGATGCAGTGCTCTCATCATGGATACTATTGGCAAAATGTCACCACTCATTGTGACCGCCTTTTTACTGTTGTAACTTAAAAAATGTTCGATAAAAATATTGAATGATAGAAAACACAGATTTTGTTTTATAGATCATTTATTTGGATTCTGGAAATGATTCACTGGGCATGCTGGGTCTCTTAAGGAAACCCTGTTATGATAGTAACATGGGAGATGCCATTTTTACCTTGTTGTCAAGGTTTTGTGTCTACCTTATAGGGCAGCACAGTGGCTAAATGGTTAGCACTTCCACCTGGCAGTACTAGGGTCATTGGTTTGAATCCCAGCCATGGCACCTCCTGCCTGGAGTTTGCATGTTCTCCCTGTGCCCATGTGGTTTTCCTCCGGGTACTCAAGTTTCCTCCCACACTCCAAAGACATGCTGGTAGGTTAATTGGATCCTGTCTAAATTGGCCCTTGTATATGAATGTGAGTTAGGGACTTTAGATTGTACACCCCTTAAGGGTTAGGGACTGATGTGAATGTACAATATATATGTAAAGTGGTGTGTAAATTGATGGCGCTACATAAGTACCTGAAATAAATAAATAAAAAATACCTTATCCATATTTCAGTGCTTTACTGGGTTACTAACCTGGAACAAGCATGCATCCTGTGAAATTGATATGTATGTATTTTTACAAAAGTGACATTATGCCTAATAGTAAAGGAAGGATGAAGATGACAGCCTTGAAATGTGTATCTTTAAAAGCAAGACAGTAATGACAACTCCCATATTACTATCATAGGAGGTTGCATTTAAGAAGGATTGAGCATTATTACTTGAAATCCATATACAAGTGAAACTCGAAAAATTAGAATATCGTCCAAAAGTTCATTTATTTCAGTAATGCAACTTAAAAGGTGAAATTAATACATGAAATAGACTCATTACATGCAAAGCAAGATAGTTCAAGCCGTGATTTGTCATTTGTGATGATTATAGCTTACAGCTCATGAAAACCCCAAATCCACAATCTCAGAAAATGAGAATATTACATGCAATCAATAAAACAAGGATTGTACATAGAACAATATCGGACCTCTGAAAAGTATAAGCATGCATATGTACTCAGTACTTGGTTTGGGCCCCTTTTGCAGCAATTACTGCCTCAATGCAGCGTGGCATGGAAGCTATCAGCCTGTGGCACTGCTGAGGTGTTATGGAAGACCAGGATGCTTCAATAGCGGCCTTCAGCTCTTCTGCATTATTCGGTCTTATGTCTCTCATCTTTCTCTTGGCAATGCCCCATAGATTATCTATGGGGTTCAGGTCAGGCAAGTTTGCTGGCCAATCAAGCACAGTAA